AGAGAGAGAGAAAGAGAGAGAGAGAGAGAGAGAGAGAGAGAGAGAGAGAGAGAGAGAGAGAGAGAGAGAGAGAGAGAGAGAGAGAAGATTAGCATTGCCATTGCGCAAGGATGACACGCATGAATAGAGAAATGGTCCAAATTACGTAAAATAAAAAACAAACAAACAAAAAAAAACAAAACAAAGGTCTGTCAGATACAAGCACAAGATGACGCAAGATCATATCCATTCACCCCGATCCCGATCTCTTATCCCTATCCATATCTATATCCATATCAAAGATGTGGTGAAGTTACGAACAAAAAAAAAAAAGAACAGATGCTTCGCTTTTTTTTTGTTTTTTTTTAATATTGCTTCGCATTTTCATCAAGCAGTTAAGTGAGCTCTTCGATTTTGAGATTCGAATTTTATTTTATTCTAGTTAATTAATAATTCGCAATTTCGCGTTTCAATTGTGTTCCGTCTTGGAACCGCCGAGTCCTGTAAAAAAAAAATAAAAAAAAAAAAAAAACAATCCGAGGGCGAACACGCTTATTAGGTGCCGTCGCTCCCTCTCTTCTGCTCCGCCGTTACCGGCCGTTACCCACCGTTAGAGCTTAAGAAACGTTTTCCCCTGAACATGACGCAGGTCCAGGAGCCGTTAGGAGAACGGCAGGTGCAGTTGTAGCACACAGACTGCCAACTCGCTTAGCCTATAGGCCATAGAGCTTGACTAGCGTTTTTTTTTTTTTTTCATTTTTTTTAATTGTTTTTATTTATTTATTTACTTTTTTTTAAATTTGTTGTAGTCTGAGTAGCGTTTCCCCCCGAACATAATGCAGCCTGATAACGAGCATACATTTTTTTTTCAATTTGTTGTAGTGAGTAGCGTTTCAGGTCCAATACAGTCAAAAAAATGAGGGTGCGTTCTGTTCGGGGGAAGAGGGTGCGTTGTGTTCGGGGGAAGAGGGTAGCGTGACGTTCTCACATGTAAAGACTGTACTCCCTGCGGGCTACATCAACTGGATCGTAAACGGTTTTTTTTTTTTTTTTTTTTTTTTTTTTTTTCCCTGATCGACATGCTCGGATGTATTGCCGGGGAGCAACGCACTAGAAACAAGCAATCGTTTTTTTTTTTTTTTTTTTTTTTTTTCCTAACAGGTTTACATCGTTGCAAATGTCACTACAGAGGAAGCTGCTACTATGACCTGTACGTGATGGAAGAGCGTACGGATTTTATTTATTTATATCTGGTAATCATTGTTTATGTAGTTTTAGCATGCCTTGAGATTGCATTTATTAAATAAATGAATAATTGGAATTTTTTTTTCCAATTATATAATTTGAGATATAGGGCCTCTCTGCACTACTCGATCGAACGTGAATTTCTGTCGAGTTCATATGCAACTGTTTGTTATCTTCATATCTCGCCTTGTTCTTTTCATATGCCTCGTTTTTACGGAGATAGCTTTGTCCTTTTTTTTTCTTTTTTTTTTTTGGGATAGCTTTATCCTCCTTTCTCCTCCTCTCCTGTGCCACCGCCTCTTTCTCCTCCTCCTCCTCCTCTTCCTCCTACTCTCTCTTCTTCTTCTCCTCTTTCTCCTTCTCTTCTGTCTTCTTCTTCTTTTTCTTCTTCTTCTTTCTTCTTCTTCTTTTGTGCTGTAGCTTCTTCTTTCAGTGGTAAAACTTTCCTTTTAAGGAATACAGTAAACCCTACGCAAACGAAGAGCTGCTTATTTAGCGGCATACATTTCCTTGGCAATGCTTTCCTTTTCAGGAATGCAATTTAACATACGCAACCTGTATTGGTTCAGATTCGATGCGGCTGGTTTCCTTTTTCTCGCAGGCACCAGCATTCTCTCCTCGCTTTCCTTTTTAGGAATGTAGTTAAACCCTACGCAACTCGTAGTGTTTTCTAGCTTTCATTTCCGTGGGTAATGCTTTCCTATTCAGGAATGTAGTGCGATCTTCGAAATCCCCTAGGTTTCTCCTAGTGATAGTGTGGTCGGTCTGATTTCTTTTTTATTTTATTTTGTTTTTTTATGATTAAAAAAACAACGGCAACGGTCTTCAGATATATCCACACGTGACGGCCCGCAGGGCCGAGGTCCCAGTAGCAAAGAGGATTGGATTAAGCCTCTGAATCTGGACGTGTTTCAAGCAGAGATTCGTAAAGGCAGTTCAAGCTCGATATTCTGCACCTTTGCACAAACGCGTCCAGATTCAGGCGTTCAATCCAATCCTCTTCGCTAGTGGGACCTCGGCCCAAGTATCCCTGATCAGATCCACCCCATCTCCCATCACCTCCCTCTCTTGTTTTTTAATCTAGTTGGCAATATCCCTTTGGCAGACTTCAAAAAAAAAAAAAAAAAAAAAGACTCGCAGAGATAATCATTGAGATGGGTGTTAAGTCGAGATCCCGATAGGGAGGTCCCAATAGCCAAGAGGAATGGATTAAGATTATGAAACCGAACGTGTTTTATGCATAGATGCATAACGAAGTTTCGAGCAGCGATTTTCTGAACCTGCCAACCAAACACGTCCAGATTCGGACCAATCGTGTTGCTAGTTGGACTTACCCTCGAGGGAGGGAACTCTGAAGGAAGAAAGAGAGTGATAGAGCCAAACTTTGGACCTTTTTTTTTTTTTTTTTTACACGGGAGTCACAAAAACGAGTTATAATTATTGCACTATGGTGGGCCAAGATACGCTTTCGAATTGCAGTTCCCAATCGGCCAATGTATACAACCCAGGTTCCTGGCCAGTTTTTTTTTCTTTTTTCTTTTTTTTACGCGGGAGTCATGAAAACGAGTTATAATTATTGCACTATGGGCTGGACTGCGGGATTTTTGTCAGGGACGCCAGGGCCGATTCCTGGCTTTGTAATCTAAGGGACGCCGGGCCCGGTGCCCGGCTTTTGGTGGGGGGAGGGAAAAGATACACTTTCGAATTGCAGTTCCGCCAATGTATACAACCCAGGTTTCTGGCCAGGTGTAGGGTACCCGAAGTGCAATTGCAAACTGTATCTTGCCCATAGTAGTGCGCAATGTTAACTCGTTTTTTGTGACTCTCCTGAAGTTATCCCTTTTTAATTTTCTAACGTCTTTGAGGGGGCTATTCGCCAAATTTCGGGCTTGTAATGACCCCCCAAAAATGACAAAAAAATACCAACCGACCTCGCTCAGTTGGTACACCACCCCTGGACTGAACTGGTGAAATACAGACCCCAGTTCGAATCCCACTGAAGTCAAAT